CACTACAATAGCCTTTGTTCCCTGGCTACCTATTCACCTGCAGCCAGCCTATCACAGGTAGTGTTTCCCGCTACCTTGGGACTCTCTACTGATGCTTGCCCCTTAAAGTAATGGGGAGCCTCTGGCTCCCTGTTACACATAGTGACTTTCACATGCTAGGAGCATGATTTAAACAGTAGAGTGGTTTTGTTTGTTTGTTTTTGTTTTTTAGTTCATTGGAAGTTCAAGATAAAATGCATGATAGCAAATGGATGGCAACAGTTAGAAATGTTATAATTACTATACAAATGCAAAATGATCTCCACATAGTTGATATATTTGAGCTTTGAAACTATGGTATTTTCCTCAGAATATAGATTCTGATCCAAGTTATATAGAAGTCTGGCAAGAAATACTATAGATCCACTAAAAGAGAGGAGGTACATTTTTAATTTTCTGCTTTTATGGTTGGCAATAAATAAAACAAAAGTTTATTTTCTCCTCTGTACTAAAGAGTGTCTTAATTAGACAGGTAGAAAGTATTTATAATTTCAATGAAAATGTTAATTAATATTTTAATTCAGGGTAATTCTATTATATTGATGAAATTACCATTATTTGATTTGTTGTAGCAAGGGAGTGTCAGAAAAAACACATAATTTGGCTATTTTATTAAATAACTGTGTTCTCTCACTTGAGAGAGGTTCTGCCTATCCAGATTACAAAATCAAAGTATTTATCATGCAGTCCTAGTTTCTGCAGTATTTAATAATGGTATGCATTACTGACATTCCTATTCTGCAGTGCATTCCACATTAGTAATTTCTTCTTTTTTCCTTTTGTGAAGCCAATAATCAAGGACTTAATTCTTAATTCTGACAAGAAAAGGCAAGCGTGTCTTTTCTTTCAGGTTGGCTGATCTCATACGGTGTGCTTTAAACTAGCTTCGTTGGGGGATGGGGCCACAGGGGGAAATGATGACACTTCCCAGCCAAGACAGGCAACGAGCACAAGAAGTACCCAGGGGTCTGGATAGTTCTGGGATCAGGGGGTGGTGCATATACCCACAGGAGGCCTTACATGCCTCTACACTAATGCTCATAGTATGAGAAACAAGCAGGAGGAACTTGCTAGCTAACACAAACCCGGACATAGTGGGGCTTACTGAAACATGGTGGCTCTCAACCCGTGACTGGGCGGTAAACATCAAGGGCTACAGACTGTACTGGCAGGATAGAATGGGGAGGGAAGGTGGGGGTGTGGTGCTCTACGTCAAAGAGCAATACATGTCCTCAAACAGAACGGGGTCAGAGGAGGGGCAGACTGAAGTGCTCTGGGTTAGAATACAAGGGGGTCAGGGGGAAAGGGACTTAACAGTTGGTGTCTACTACAGACCACCCAACCAGGGGGAAGAGCTGGACCGGGAATTCTCAGTTAGCTTGCAGAGGCAGTTAAATGAAGGGACGTGGTCATCATGGGTGACCTAAACTACCTAGACATCTGCAGGGAGGAGCAGTCAGCCAGGTCTGACTGCTCACATAGGTTCCTAGCTGAGATACAGGACCTCCACCTAACCCAGGAGGTGCACAGTCCCACCAGGGGAGATGCCTTGCTGGACCTGGTCCTGGCCACAGGTGACAACCTGGTGAGGAGACTGTGGGTTCTCGACCACCTGGGTGATAGCGATTATTACCTACTGGAATTCACCATCCAGCGCAGGGTGTCAAAGGCCTGCAGCAAGGCAGCAGCCCTTGACTTCAGGAGGGCTGATTTCAATGAGTTAAGGAGATTAGTCAGGGAGGCACTGAGGTCCCGGAGGGGAGGGGAGTTGGGAGTCCAAGATGAGTGTTTTTTCCTTAAGGAGATGAGTTTCCAAGCCCAAAGGGTGACAGTCCCAATGCAAACCAAAGGGGGCAAGAGTGCTCAAAAGCCCCCGTGGTTCACCAAAGGCATTCAGGAATGTCTGAAAGCTAAAAAGGAGGTGTACACCCAATGGAAGGGATCGGCCATCACCAAGGAGGATTATACTTCCATTGCTCAAGATTGTAGGGGGGATGTTAGGAAGGCTATGGTGGGGACAGAACTGGAACTAGCAACCGGGATCAAAGACAACAAGAATTCCTTTTTTAAATACATAGGGAGTAAAAAGAAGGCACCAGATAATGTGAGGCTTCTGCAGGACACATTTGACAATCTGGTGGTTGCACCAGATGATAAAGCTGACCTCTTTGACAAATTCTTTGCCTCCATATTTCTGAGCAGGGACCAGTACATCCCCCCCACTGGGGTCCTAGATGAATTCAGGAGAGACACAGCCAGGCCCAGGGTCAGAGAGGACCTAGTTAGGGAACTTCTAGTGGGAACTGGACATGTTCAGATCAGCAGGTCCAGATGATCTCCACCCAAGGGTGCTGAGGGAATTGGCAGAGGCCATTGTAGGACCCCTGGCATAGCTCTATGAGCACTCATGGTGCTCTGTTGAGGTGCCAGAGGATTGGAAAAGGGCCAATGTTGTCCCCATTTTCAAAAAAGGGAGGAAGGAGGACCTAGGAACCTATAGGCCCATTAGTCTTACCTCAGTCCTGGGGAAGCTCTTTGAGAAAATTATTCAAGAACACATCTGTGAGGGACCAGCAGGGGAGTTTATGCATCGGGGAAACCAACATGGGTTCATTAGAGGCAGGTCCTGAGAACAGCTTGGTTGCCTTCTACGACCAGGTCACAAAAACCTTGGATGCAGGTGTCACAGTGGACACAGTCTTTCTATACTTTAGGAAAGCCTTTGACTCTGTCTCTCACCCCATTCTCTTAAAAAAATTAGGTGACTGTGGTGTCAATGCCTACACAGTCAGATGGGTTGCAAATTGGCTGGAGGACTGCACCCAGAGAGTGGTGGTGGATGGGTCATTTTTGACCTGGAGGGATGTGGGTGCTGGGGTCCCCCAGAGCTCAGTTCTCGGGCCTGCACTGTTCAATATCTTCATCAGTGACTTGGATGAGGGGGTGAAAAGCACCTTGTTCAAGTTCATAGATGACACTAAGATGTGGCGAGAAGTGGGCACGTTAGAAGGGAGGGACAGGTTACAACTAAATCTGGACAGGTTACAAGGGTGGGTGGATGAGAATAGGAAGAAGGCTGAGAGGGGATCTGGTGGCCATCTATAAACTTACCAAGGGGGACCAGCAGGGAACAGGAGAGACCTTTTTCCCCCGAGCACTACCAGGAATAACTAGGAATAATGGCTGTAAGTTGACTGAGAGTAGGTTCAGGCTGGACATCAGGAAGCACTACTTCACAGTCAGGGTGGCTGGAATCTGGAACCAACTTCCAAGGGAAGTGGTGCTCGCTCCTACCCTGCGGGTCTTCAGAAGGAGGTGAGATAATCACCTTGCCAAGGTTGTTTGACCCTAGCATTCTTTCCTGCCCATGGTAGGGGGTTGGACTTGATGATCTGCTCAAGTCTCTTCCAACCCTACCAACTATGAAACTATTTTGACTTACAATTAATGTATATCCAATTGCTTATTTCTGGAAAGGTTGTTGTAATAAGATGATGGGAAAGTAAGTGGAAACTTCTTAAATCTAAAGAATTTATTTACCCTTATCCTTCATACTATTAGTGTGATTATAAAGACTACACTGTATGGACTTGGTTATAGCTGATGATCTCTGCCTAACAAATGTTGAATATAAAGTATCCATAAGGATTATGTTAAGAGTTGTTGATGAAACTGATCATGAGGTATTTAGGCTGTCTTACAGATCCTGACATCAGTGATTTGTGGCTGGGTCCCCTGTTCTTTCACCATAATGGCATATTGAGGAATACAAAGACAATTGAACAGTACAGATTTTGTGTTCAGCATCAGATCAATTAATTAACAATCCACTGGCAACATTAAGGTGAAATTTAATCATGGTTCTGATCATTTGGGATCTTTAGGATCTTTAGGATTACTGAAGATCCTAAGTACATCATTTGTGATAACATGGTGAGTATCCCTGCAGTCCTGATCAATTTCAGTTTCGAGAGTTTATGACTTGATTCTGACCTAAAGGTAAGTATGCAATTTCAATTTTGATATGGCACCTTTTCATTTCCTTTCCTAATTTTTTGTGTAGCATTGCCACTGGTTATTGATGCTGTGTATATGCCAATCTTGATGATGGAAACTGATCTAGAGGTGGGCAAAGCAAGAGATTCAAGGACACCTTTGTCTAGTATGGATGCTATATGGCCATGGTCCCCAATGACCTGGCATCTTGTTGAGAGGTGCCGTGGGGAGATCTGTAAGGTTCTGTAAATAGCTAGCCTGTGATGCCCTTCTCATGCACTCTACACCCTTTATGTTTCTGGTTACTGACTGGGAGATCCCAACAGATGGAGATTCTTTGTGCCTTGATTTTATTGATGTCAGTGGGTTGTTGGCCACCTCCAATGGTCTCTACTTAGCCCAGCTTCCTTCAGTCTATAATTCAGGCAAGCCTGAACAGCAAATAGTTTATATTAGTCCCTTTGCAATACCCATGTCCCTTAATTTAAATCAATTCAGTCAAAGTCAAAACAGGGATGAATATAAATCAATTTTCCACTCAGATGCAAATAAATCAATTTAAATGAGTCCATCCTAGGTCTCAGAAAGAGGTAATCACCAATCAATTCGCCCTCCTACTTGGAACGATTAGTTTCCATCAAGAGATCCTCACTGAAAAGAAAAAAACAAATCCACTATTGGAACAAACTCAAATCAAATTCCTCCCTCATATATTAGTCTGTCAGTTCATAGCCATATCTTTTCACTGTTTGCAAATCACTAATCTACCACCCTTTCATCCCAGTGGCGACCCTGGGTCCAAAACCTGTATTGGGGTCAACACCTTCTTTCAGGGAAAACTTTTACTTCAGCCTCCTCTCCACTGGAACAGAGAATCTCCCAATCCACCTGCCCCCCCTTGTAACACAGTCCAGAAGGAAAAAAAAACTAGGCTTCAAAAGGGGAAGGGCCCCTTTAAGACTCACAGTCCCCAGGCGATAATTGCTTTTCCCTTTTGGCTTTCTCCACCATCTCCAGCTTCTGTCTCACTGGCTCCTCTGGGTTGGTCAGCTCCCTGGCAGGCTACACCCCAGGCATGGATAGGGATCTTCTGACTCCCTTTTGCTCCAGGATCCCAGTTCCTGTCCTCCACAGGGAATTGACAGCTCCAGCCACTTCCGGTTCTATTGCCATCATCTGCTGCTGCTCCTCCTCTCTTTGCCATTCTCCAGGGCCAGAACTGCCAACTCCAGTGCTCCTCCTGCCAGTCCAGAAGGAGCATGTGCTACAGAACTTCAGCAACGAGTCCTCCCCACCAGGTTGTCTTCTCACTGCACCAGACATAAGTACCTCCCACTCCTGTCTCTCGGGGCTTTCCTCATGTCTCCCTCTACTCTCTTAACAACCTTGAAAGCCAGTCTGAAGAACTGATGCTAGTAATGTTACTGCCAGTAATCACCCTTCCTTCCCCTGCAGAATTACCTCACAGCAGGAGTAACTCTACTGTTTGTCTCTGCTGTTGTAGCTAGAAGCAGCTGCAGGCAATAAAGCATGATGGGATCTAATGAGCAATCCCACAATCTTGCCTACTGCAGTGCACATTAGGCCTGTGCGAACAGGCAGCTATTTGATTCAAATTTGGATTCAGATGATTTGGATATATCTGATTCAATTTGGAGATCTGAATTACTTTTCTGATTCGATTCGGCCAAATTGATTCGGAAAAGATTCGGCAACTCAGAGATTCAGCCATAGCGTATAATGGGGAAATCAATGAAATATCTATAACTGTGGGTTTTTTTGCTGAGTCAGATGAAACTTACAGGGATGGTAGACACTGCTGAAGGCATGAATCCCTTCATGCCTCAAGGTGATAGGTACAGGGGTTTCTGGAAAACTGCACCTCCAAGTCCTGAAAGCAAAACTTGGGTCACGTGTGTGTGTGAAGCCACAGTGGGGTGAAAATTGCAGGGATGGTAGCACTTGCTGATGCCACA